AGGAGGAGGAGGAGGAGGAGCAGGAGGAGCAGGAGGAGGAGGAGGGCTCCCCACAAAAGCCCCCTCTGGAACCCTCCGGCAGGTGGACAGGAGCTCCAGATCCGTCAGGACGCCATGCGGCCTTGCTGGCGGCACGAAGGCTCGCCCGGAGCTCCGACGCCCCTCGGAGAGCTCTCTTGAGCCCAGGCAGCAGCTCCAGAGGCTGCCACTGAGCCGGGCCTGTCCCTCTACAGGAGGAGTATTCCAAAATAGTAAAGACATAGTCTGGGGACGTTTTTTTTTATTTGACAATTTTGAAGTATTTTTCATTTTTCGTCCAAAATCCCCCTGTAGGGGGACATGCCCTCCGACCTAAGGCTACCAAGACGGTGCCCAGACTCGCCCAGGCAGCCCCCAGCCTCTGTAATCAAGGGTCGGGGGTCGGGCTGGCTGGTCAAGAAGCGTATTCCAGCCCTCTGATGTGAAAGAGGAGAGCGATAGGAGGAACACATCTCATCGGAGTGGGGGGGCGTGTCTTTGCACGTGCTTGTGCACCCCAGCGTACCGTCGGCACCGTGGCGGGCACACCGGGCTCGCGCGATCGTGGCGGTTGTTCTTTTGTTGTCGAGCGAGTTCGGATGCTCCTCCCGGCGAGGTCGCGGTGTCGAACCCGCTGCAGCGCGAGCTGGCGGACACCGAGATCTCCCTGCTGAAGTCCCTCAACCACCCGAACATCATGAAGATGCACGAGGTGGGCGCTCGTGGCGCTGTCGCCCCTCCCACGTTGCCAGCGATCCTCCCTCAATGGCGCCAACTCCCCACTGACCATCCCTCCGCTTGCCCTCCCCCCCCGCCCCCCCCCTTGACCATATTTCCTCTTTTTAGGGGGCCTGTGGCTCTGGACGACAAGCCGTATATTCCTTCGTTCCCCACCTTCTTGTTTGCGTAGTCTTCCTGCCTTCTTCCGTCTCCACCTCCCCCGCCACCCTCTTTTCCTGGGAGACGGAAAGGCACGGAGGAGAGAAGAAGGATAATACGGCGAAAGAGGGGAGGAGAGAGAGAGAGAGAGAGAGAAGAGAGAGAGACAGAGAGATTTATATCAAGCTAAAGGGAACGAGAAATAAATATCCATAAGTACACATAGAAACACATACATAGAGAAAAGCAGAGGTCTGGGAGAGATTAAAGGGGGAGAGGCGCGAGGGAAGGTGAGGGACACCAGGAGGTTTGGGGAGGGTTGGGGAGAGGGATGAGGGAGCGAGAGTTGAGAGGGGCGATTGACTGGAAGCGGAGGGAGAGTGGTTAAGGGAGGCGGAAGGGAGGAATGGGTCGTTGGGTGAGGAACGCTCGCTGTAGTGGGGAGTGGGAGCGGGGAAGAGGGAGGGGGTGACGCAGGGGGTCCGGTCCGGTCCGACACACGATCGTAGTCAGCAAGCCGATCGATTTGAAGAGAAATATGTAGCGCCGCGATGAAATATCGCCAATGAAAGCTTTTCAACGTGAGCGGCGCGACCCGTTGCGTAGACAGGTTAAGGCCCCACTCCAGCAGCGGGACGCACTGGCGTGGCGTCTCCGCTGGACTTGGGTCGCGACATGCTGAATTTGCCCGAGCGGGCCGCCCCCAGGACAACGCGCGCCGATGGAAAAAGGAGGGCGGGAGGGGAGCAGGGGCAGGACAGGTCGCCGTTGCCTTATTCCTTGTTGTGCCGATTGGCGCAGGCCCTCGCACCCCCTCTCCTCCCCCCCCCCCATGGAGTGGATCTTGGCTGTTTTTGGCGCCTGTTGCACGCAGGCAGAGTCCCCCCAAATGGGACGCACGGTTGCAACCAGTGGCATTGAGGAGAGGCTTGAAGTCAGACCCCTCCCTCCCCCCCCTTTCCGCCCAATGCCGAAACGCCGAATAAAAAAACGCTCACCAGCGCCGCACCCTGAGCACGCTGGCTGAATTCGTCGGCAGAGGTGTACACCTGGCGAAGACAGAACATGCGCCAGCATGCAATCATCAGGTCTGCTTTGTGACACGTCGGCCGACCGCGTTGCTGGGTCACTCTTGTCGTCTGCAGGAAGCGCGTTGCGGTTGGTTGCCAACGTTTATCTGCATGATGATGAGGGCATGTCTGCTACTAGTGTGCGTATTTTGGCTGACGTTGCAAATGGGCTGGTGCAGATTGACCTTCCTTTCATCAGTGGTGGCGACTCGAATGCTACGCCCCAGGAGGTACGTGAGTCTGAAGTGTTGGAGTGCTTTGATGGTGAAATTTGCGCCCCGTCTGTCGGGACGTCTACGCCTGGGAGTAGGACCTTTGAGTATTTTATTGTGTCCCGCGCGCTGCCGCCGCTGTCAGTGCAGGTTGTTCCCACGATTCCCATGAGCCCGCGCTCGGCCATCCTGCTTAAGGTGAATGGTGTCGACCAGCCGTCGGTGCGCAGCATGCCCGCGCCACGGTCTTTCCGTGTTGAGCGGCCCACAGGATGCGCATCGGCCGATTTTGACTCGGCCTGGGCTCAGCTACGGGGTTCGATGCCAGTTGGGGGATGCGGCCCCGATGTGCTCACTCAGGGTTGGGAGCTGCTTATCACTCAGGCTGAGAGGGAGTGATGCGAGATCTACCTGGTGGGGGACGACCGGGCGAAGCTCTGCGGTCGAAGGCGCGCGCCTCAACCGAAGTGGGTCCGTGCCCGGGTTCCGCTGCCGCCTCGGTTTCCCACGGTGCCCGCAGAGGCTGTCTTTCCCAGGCGTCTGGTCGCATCCCTGACGCTTGTCGGCGTTGTGGAGCGGCCGCTGACGCGTGCCAACGCCCCTCGTGCAGTGGCTCGTCTTCTGCGGGGTGCTCCCGCCGGCGTCGGAGGTGCCCCCTGGGGCCAGGCCTGCAGGTCTCTGGAGGACGCCCGTGGGGTCTCATCCGCCGGGGGGCATGGGCCCGCAGAGGGTGTGCAGGGCTGCGAGGGCCGCGAAAGACGAGGCTGCCAAGGTGGCACGCAAAGGACATGGGTGCTAGCTTTAAGTCGGGCCTGTCCTTCTACTGGAGGAATATTCAAAATTTGTCCAACCATAGTCTGGGGACTATTTTTTATGATTGTTTGACTATTTGTGAGTGCTTTTTGTTTGACAAGAATTTAACTTATCGCGCAGAATCCCCCTGCAGGGTGGGGGGGCACGCCCGACCTAAGGCTAGGTCTGCTAAGTTTCGGGGGTGGGTTGAGAAGCAGCCGTTTCTGGGGGCGGGTGCCTTGCATGCAATGGCGAAGGAGCCCCGGCAGCGGTTCGGCAGCCCTGTCGAAAAAGAACCCCCCATACACGCCCCTCAGCAAACAGGAGGAGGCACGAAAACTGCAAGAGGTCTGGAGTCACTGGTGGAAGTTGGGCGAGGATCACCATCACCCCGGTCTGGAAGGGCCCCCAGATTGGGGCCCACGTCCTCCGAGGCCGAGTCTGGAGCACATCATGAACGTTCTTAGCCCCTTCAAGCGTATGTCAGGCGTGGGCTGCTACTCGAGTCGACCCCGTCAATTGCACATGTTTTGTGATTCAGCGGTCGAGTGCCTGATCGGCCTCATCATCGCCATCGAGGCGGCTGTGGACTGGCCGCGGCTGGTCACAAAGGTTGCGTTTTCGGCCAGCCGGTTCGGGGGCGTGCGCCCCGTTGCGCTGCTACACGTCCTGGCCAGTATCCAGTCCAGGTTGCGAAGGTCGATCGCGAAGGACTGGGAAGCCCGAGTTCATCGGCATCGTTTCTGGGCGTCTGCGGAGAAAGCCTGCGAGCGAGCAGCGTGGCAGCAAGAAACTCGGTCTGAGTGGGCCACGAAGATAGGGAAGGGGGGCCCAGAAGGGCCTTCGGACGTCGGCTCATGTCTTGATTGACATGTTCAAAAGCTTCGAGCAAGTCTGGCATCACTGGCTTTGGGAGGCCGCCGTGCGGACGGGTTCCCGTTGTGGCAGTTGCGACTCCAGGCGCTGCCGTAGCGCCCCCCCAGGTTCCTGTCCCCAGGAACGGTTGTGTCGGAGGGGCTCCAGGTCGACCAGGCCATCTTACCTGGGGACGGTTGGGCGACGTCGCTTTTGAAGCTTGCCTTGCTGTTGCCGCTCGACCAGGCGCGGGCGCTGCGCAGGTCCGTGGCGCCAGTTGTCGTGGTCGACGAAATAAGTTTACATAGAGTTGGCAGTGCGAAGGTGGTCACTCGTGAAATTGTGGAGGCGGCCAGGGCCCTGGAGCCTGGTCGGGGCCCTCGCGCGGTGCCAGCTCCCCATCCACTACGAGAAGACCCGCGCCATGTCTAACAGTCCCGACGCGCGTGCTCATATTGGGGCTCAGCTAAAGAAGCTGGGCGCCGCTGCGCATCGGCACAACTTGTGCTGGGCATTTTCGATGTTCTTCGCGCGAGTACTGAAGCTGCGCTGGATATTTTGCCAAGCACCCCAAATTCCCAGCAGCAGAGTCGACCTTTCCAGGAAAACCACAGGGGCCATAATAAGTTCGACGAAGTGCGCGCTGAGACCGGGGGCCAACAAAATGGACGGCGCATTGTTTCTCGCGTGCTGCGCGCTCGAAGGGGCGCCGGAACAGTTCAAAAGAGCCTGATCAAGTCGTTAGAATGCACGGCGAGATGAGGCCCCGACTTCCGCCTGGCGCTCGACGCCGCAGTGCTCCAGCGAGAAAACATCGCGAAGCCCAGCAAGGATGGATGTTCACAGACTGGTCGGGGTGGAACACACCGAGGACCTCTTCGGCGCAGCGCGGTGCCTCATTCGAACGCCAGAGCCGATCAAGCGCCGCGTCTGCGTTCCGTCGGCGGCGTCGGCGCGGACCACTGCGCACTCCAATTCAGCCGGGAAGTTCTCGCGCTCGAACGGGGAGAAACGAAGGCGGCCTTGATCTGCGATTCGAGCTCGGACGTGCGAGGGCAAAAGAGGGCGCTGCGAATGTTGTCATAGAGCCCGGACGTGCCGCGGCCCGTGGATTGCGAGCGAAAGGCCAGACGCGCGGATGCTGCAATGGGCTCCTCCCTGCGACGGCTGCGAGAATATTCAGTAAACAGAGATCCCCTTGCCACATCCCAGCCAGTGGCCCCATCCTGACGCGGCATCCGGGCTAACCAGGACGCGCGCCAGCGAAGAGGAGCCCAGCGACGCAACCAGACAAGGCCGAGCAAGCGTGAACACGCCATAGTTGTCCAAGCGCATTCAGAAGTCTCGGCGCGACATCCCAAGCCAGAGCCTCGAGACGCAGAGACACGCAGGGAGAAAGCCATCCGTTGAAGTTAATTGGAGATCCCCCATGGCGGCGCGCAGCGGAGATAGGCCGCTCGAAAAACCCTGTTGAGAGCATCGCGTAGATCTCGACGTGCGAGAGGGGGCCATCGCTCAGGGCCCAGGGCTGTGAAGAACGTCGAGATGATCGCACGGCTTCGCAGTCGGCGTCGCTCGCATTCAGGCCGCCCTCCTGCGCAGGAAGCCGGAGGCGATTCCCTTTCTGCTGGCTTGTTGCGCGAAAGTATGGGACCTGCCGAAAACGACGTCGACGCGGCCCCTCGCCCTGGCCACTCGAGTGGAAAGATAGCGCCCACGCTCTGGCGAAGTCCCTCCCTTCCCAAGCAGCCTGGCAATCTTCTTCAATGGCGCGACGTCGGCGACGAGCGCCGGCCTGTAGCGTCTTGCGGGTCGCCGCGGAGATGCAGCGCAGTGCACCCAAGCGGACAATAGCGGCAATATCGTAAGTTGCAGACACACGTTCAGGGTAGACGCCTGGACAACCCAAGGTTGAACGAACCGCCGACACAGAAGAAAATTCAGAGAACCTGCAGGTACGGTGGTAGCAAAAACAAGGCGGTGAGCAGAGGTTCGAGCAGACTTCCGCTGTGCGATCGCTGCTTTCTCACGTTCCGCAAGATAAGGCTGTTTCCAAGTTGCAGCCGCATAGTATATCGCGGAGCAGCCGAGCTCAAGATGACGTCGGTCAACTTCGGGCCAACGTCGCCAGGGCCGCTCCCGCGCAGCCAACTCAAGCGAGGGCCACTGCTTCTCCGAATCGTGATTTCGATCGCCCGGGCGAAGGATGTTTTGCGCGTGCCCAATTCGCGGCTCCAGAAGCCTGTGCGCCAGAACTGGCGTGCGTGGTGTTCAAGACTTCGGGGTGCCTGAACGCCGATCGCAGGTCGATTTCGCAGCGGAGAAGACGATGATCACGATCAACAACGTACATCAGTAATCAATGGCAATGCATCGACGATGCTGGCGCTGCCGTCGGGCCCGAAGCACGGCGGCCCGCAGTCCCGGAATGTCATCACCAGACGTGTACGCCATTTGAACACGTTCCGAGATTAAACCACGTGGTCGGATTTGGGGTTGGCGGGGGCGACAGCGACAAGCACGAGAAAGTCGAAAGCGCCTTCGAAGGTGCACCCCGCCGCAGCGACCTTGAAGTTGCTTGAGAGGAGTCAACACCTGAGCCAAATAATTTGTTGGAAAACAGTCCCGCCGGAACAGCGGCGTATTACCAGCCGATTAGTTCGTGCAGTTCCCCCCAGGAGTGGGGAATGTGAGTCGAGCATGCGGGGAATAAGGGGAGGATCGAATAACCCCGACAAGCTCGGTGGAGAGACCAGCGGACCTGTCGCGAGTCCCGCGCGAGCCGATGTTGCGGCGCCCGCCATTGCATCGCACGCATCCTCGAGACGGCCATGCTGACGCATGCTTAGACAGTTGTACTGCACAAGAGTCAAAGCCATGGCTTCAAGCGAGCCCACAGGTGGCAAATCTCCAGATGTCAGTATCAGAAAGGTCGCGAAGCGATGAAGAGCCACAGAAGCATGCTGTGGCTTGGATGCAAGCTTGCTCCTGATACGCAGACGGGAGAACGAGAGGATGGCGGGGGAGGGGGTACCGTTGAACTTCCCAAGGGTGTCTTTGCATCCTTGCCTCTTCGGTCATCGTCGGCCCACCCTCAATGGGCAGTGGGAAACCGACCCCAGCCCCCACAACTATGGATTTTACATGTCAGCGTTTTGCATTTACGGCGAACGAGCGTAAGTGTAGACGCCCTGTCGGCGAGACCATTGCCACCTGCCGCAAGGGATCCCCGCGCGCGCGGCGACGTCCTGGGCCCGCGCGACGCGGCCGCGCCCGCGCCGCCATTCCCAGGGCCGCGCGTGCCACGTCCGCGACGTCCGCTTGCCTCTTCAGTCATCGTCGTCTTTTAACTGTCCCATTGGTCTAAAGTTCTTCATGTGGGGGGGGGCGGGGGTCGTTTCTCATGCGTTCACTCAACCACTGTTGATGGCCAGGCCCACTCGAAAAGCTTCGGCATGGGCGTCCGAGGCCCTTGCGTCCTCATGCCAGGCATCCTTACTAGCCGCTGTGAGTGCACATTTGGGTCAGGGCCGAGGATCAGAAGCCAGGCGAAGGCTGGCAAACCCGGGGTTGCTAAAACCGAGCTCCAGGAAATTGTGTTGTTCGTCCGGGAAGCAGCCCGTGCACCAATTGGCGCGTTGAGTTTTATTCCGTGCTTTTTTCTTATGGGAAGACTTTCTGAGCAACTACGGATTTGCCAACCATCGGCCAGTTTCCCAGAAGAGCCGCAGGGGGCAAAGCAGAGGAAGGAGGGCGGGGATGGGAGTGGGCCAGGTGTATTTCGAGAACGGCGGCGGGGGGCGCAGCGTGACCAACGGCGCGCGCCCGCGCCGCTCCGCACCTGCCTGGGGGCCACGGGCGTTCCTCCGCCCTCCCCCCCTTCGCGAAGTCCGCGTCGGCTCCGTCCCCTCACGGTGCCCCTCGTTGTCTGGGACCTTGCGCGGTTCAGGCATCTGGTGTAGCGGCCGCATTTGTGGATCATGTCCCCCAGGCTCCCTCTCCTGTTTACCTCCTCCTCCCCCTGCTGCTGCTGCTCCTCCTCCTCCTCCTCCTCCTCCTCCCCCTCCTCCTCCCCCTCCTCCTCCCCCTCCTCCTCCCCCGCCTCCTCCTCCTCCGTTTCCGCTTCCCCCTCGTGTGCCGCACGCCCCCATCCCCTGCCGTGCCCTCCCCGGCCTGCCCCTCCCCCCATGCCTCTTCCATCTTCCCGGGCCCCTCCCCCCGCCGTGCCCCTCCGCCCCCCCCGCCATCACGTGCCGCAGACTGGGCAATTTTCACGCCTGCCCGCCGTCCCCCTTCCTGCCTGAAAGTCGCACCTTGCCCTTTGCGGGCATGCGTCTCAGGCGGACGAGGAGGAGGGGGAGGAGGAGGAGGAGGAGGAGGTTTCCTCATCCTCCTCCTCCGCAACTCCTCCTCCAACTATTTCACCTCATCCTCCTCCTTTTCCTCCTCCTCCTTCTCCCCATTCTCCTCCTGTCCTGCATCGCGGCCGCTGCGTGAGCATGGTCTGGCCCAGTTTGCCATAGGCATTCCTGCCGTCGCGCTCAGAGTGTTCGGCTCGGTGCCCCCCGGGAAGTTCGCCGGCAGAACAGCTCATACCGCATGCGCGGCGTGCCCACCTCCTTGGGAGACTAGAGGGAGCTGAGGGATCGAAGCGGCTGGCTGTACGGGGCCCTGGTTTGGGTCCCCAGAGGCGTGCCAGAGCCCTCCAGGGGATTCCGTGAAGCCTCCCGAAACTTGAGGATTTCCGTAGGCCTCGTCCGTGTCCTTCCCCTCTGCCCTCCCATTTTCCTCTTCCATCTTCCCTATCCTTCTTGCCCAGACGTGTTCCCTCGTCCGTCCCCCCCGTTGTTCCCCCCCTACCACTGCCCTCCCCGCTTGTTCCCTTCCGCTCCTCGGGGAGAAGATGGGGAAGGACGGAGATGGGAAAGGATAGTTCAGCGGGAGGGAGGGAGGGAGGGAGGGATCCGAGCACAGTATATGACTACCGCCACCAAGATCGAGCATAATATACGATGCGATTTGGTTCAGTTTTGCTCTGGTGAAACGCCCGCATTCCCCCTCCCTCCGCCAACGGCAAGCGGGCTGCCCCCTCTCTCTTGAGGACCGAAACAGGTTCATCAAAGCACGCGCGGTGGTGGTGAATTTTGTTTACCAAGAGGAGCGATTCTTATACACCACCACCAAGAAGTGTTTTTTCTGCGCCAGGAGCTCCCCATGCCACGGCGCCTGCGAGCTGCGCTGCGCTCCTTTTCGCCGTGGCGTCGCAGCGTCGTCTGGCAGGACCCTGCCCCTACACCTTTTTGCGGCGAATTACTGTTGCGGGCGGTGGTGGTGTATAAAAATTGGCCTCGCAAAGGAGGAGAGGGCGGGGAAGACTGTGTGGGTGGAGAGAGGAGTTGAAAGGCGGAGGCGACGAGAGGGGAGGAGGACGATCGCTTTTGGTTTAGACCCTTCGATGGAGACCAGAGTTCGGCGCCGCCAGCGCCACTGAGCGGGACCAAATTGTACCAAACACCACCGTCATTTTGAGAAACGGGTAGCGCGGTATAGGCATGTGGGGCGGGGTCCCCAAGGCAGAGGTTGCCTTTCCCGTCAGATTTGCAAGAACATGAGGATGATGAAGAAAGGGAGGGGGTTGATGAGGGCGAGGGGACAGAAGGAGAGTATGATGGCGTTGCCGATACATCGCCGACTGCGCGAAGCTCCGGCCGCGTTTGTTTTGGCCTGTTGATGTCTTGCCAGCTCACCTATGTTCCGCATGCATTTCCTGTAGGTGTCAGCGCACATTGTTGCCTGATGAAGCCAGCGCCGCCCAGCGCCAGGCAACATCTACCTCGTGACGGAGCCGCGTTTCGGGGCGTGCGGGTGGTGCGCATGATGAAGAGTGACGACGACCAAGACCGTCGAATGATCGCGATCACCGACTCCGTCCGCAATCGTGACCATGAACACGACGACAGGAGGAGGGGGAGGAGGAGGAGGAGGAGGAGGAGGAGGAGAAGGAGAGATAAAGGATCATTAGAAGGACTATGATTCGAAGGGATGAGGAATGTGATAATGAGGCGGAGGAGGACGTAAACAAGTAGTGCGAAGAGGAATCATTGCTGGCGTAGAAGCGAGATCCTAAGTATCTCGGAGGCAGGAGAAGGCATGAAGGAGGAGTGATGAGTAGGATGTGGTTTTGCAAGAGAAACAGGAGGATCAGGATGCGGCGATCGAGGACCATCACAATTAGAAAGCTGTGGAGGATGAGGATAACGACGAAGATGTTGAGACGAATAGCTATAGCACGAGTTCTACTAGGAACGGAAACATTACGTCATGAAGAGTGGGAGGCAGAGGGGGAGGTGGATGCGATGAAATTGAAGGTGGCGAGGGCGCGAGGGAGGACGTTTTCGGGAGAGGGGACGTCCGGACGAGGAGGACGAGAACAACAGGAAGCGGATTTAGATGAGGAGGACGAGGAGATCGCGAGGAGGTTGCGGAAGGGGATGAGAATGCCGACGAGGAGGCCGAGAACGATGAGGAGAATTGTGAGGAGGAGGAGGAGCAGGAGGAGGAGGAGGAGCAGGAGGAGGAGGGAGGAGGGAGGAGGAGGACGGAAATCACGAGGTTGGGACCAGGATGTGAAGGGGACGCCCTGGGGGAGCATGGGAGGCAAGGGCCGCGGCAGGCTGAGAGAGGCGACCCGGGGACGAGAGCCCACGGCAGGGACGAGCGGGGCGGGGAGGTCGCTCTCGGATCGGCGGCGCGCCGAGCGGGGGCCGGGCGGAGGGAGCGGGCCGTCCGGCAGGGCTCGGAGCGCCTCCGGTCTTCTAAGGAGTTGTCGATCTGCTAGGGTTGAGTCGGGCCTGTCCCTCTACAGGAGGAATATCCAAAAATAGTCAACAAATAGTCAGGGGACGATTTTTTAAATATTTTTTGGACCATGTTGAATTATTTGTTTGACTATTTTCAATTTTTCCTCGAATATCCCCCTGTAGGGGGACAGGCCCGACTTAATTCGAAGGAGCTGTCCAGGCCATCCCCGGATAGCAGGGACGACCTCTCAGAAGGCCGGAGGGCTTTTGAGAAGCCCCGACGCGTTCTGAGAAAGTTGCACCCCCTCTCACTTCCTCCCCCCGGGCGCCCTTCCGAGCGAGGACGTCGGTTGGTGCTTCGGGGAAAGAGGGGCACGATGACGAGGATGAGCAGTGCGGGGGTTGGAGTTCGAGGAGGCACAAACATGGGGTTGAGGCGCGCGGGGTTTGCGACGGGTCTGGTGTATTCGCACTGAATCTGTGACGCGTTCCTTCGCCAAATCAGGCGGCATGGGCTTCATGCTCGGGGGGGGAAGGGGGGGAATTTTCCCCGATCTGTGAGTCTGGCGCCCACGTGCCAGATCCGCGGATCTGTACACCATGCCAGCGTGTTTGCCACGATGAGAGTGGCGGGAAAGGGCGGGCGAGAGCCGAGGGAGGGGACGTGCTTCCTGCCCAGTGCCCGGCGGTTGCGCACGAGGGCTGGGTCGTCGGGGAGCGGGAGCAGCTTAACCAGCCAGCGAGGATGAGCAGCGGGAAGGGTTAGAGAGAGCTGTGAGCTAAGTGACAAGACGACGCGGACGAGAGCCGAAAGGTCGGATTTGTTTCTTTCCCAGTGTCCGGCGGTTGCGCACAGATGCTGGGTCGTCGAAGGGCCAGGTGGGTTGCCCAGCCGCCTTGTCAGGTTTGGTGGGCGGGGCAGATTTTGCTGTCCCCGCCTCCCTCGATCCACGTGCCTTTGGAAACCCCGGGCGGCATGCGAGCGGGTGGTTCCAGGATCTTTCCAGAAAGTTGTCCACAGTTTGTTTCGCCATAGTCCGACGAGACCTTGCGGGCCCCGTTTCGTTGGCGACGGTTCCTCCACGCTCTCTCGACGCTAGGCTGTGGGACTGCGTTTGAGGGTCCTGGGGTCGTGTTGGGGACGTCTTGGCCCACTCTGTGGCCGTTTTGGTGGAGGTATCCATCGGTTTTGTGGCCGTATCGGGCAGATGTTCAACCTTATCGCGGCAGCCTCGTGAAATCCTGGGGCATTTTGGGAACCACGTGTGGGGAGTATTTTGAGGAGCATTCTGGGGACCAGGTGTGGGGACATTTTGAGGCATCTTGCGGTATGTTGGGGCTTCTTGCGGCTTCGTGGGGCGAGACATCGAGGAACGAAACAAACACAAACGGTAACTTTCGGAGGTCCGCGTGGATTTCTTGGCTCCGCGCTTGAGCCCCCTGGCGCCGCCTCTGGCGCCGCCCCCTGGCGCGCTCCGCGCGCCAGGGAAGGGGGTCCAGCGCCGATCCAAGAAAAGCCGCGCGGACTTTTGAAAGTTCATGTCTATCTAATCTTCGTCGGTTCGTCCTGCCACCGTGCCTGGGTTGTGGGTGTGAAGTCTATTGGATGTTCGTGGGGATCTCGTCGGAGAGAGCTCTCGGGGGCCTCTTGGAGGCAGTTTGGACGCCTCCTGGGGGCCGTTTTGGGGTATCTTGGGATCTCTGTTGGGCCTCTTGGGGCCTCTTGGTGGCCTCTAGGGGCCTCCCGGGCGCCTATTAGGACCTCCTGGGGGCTTCTTGGGGCGGAAGGCTTGGATTTTCGGTTCGTGGTCCCTCTCCTGGGCCCCGCTCGGGGCCGTCTTGGGGCCCTCTTGGGCCGTCTTGGGCGCCTCTTAGGCTGTCTGTCTTCTTGGAGCCCTCTTGGGCCGTTTCGGTGCCCTTTTTGGGGCCTCTTTTTTGGGCTGCCTTGGGGCCCTCTTGGGCCGCCTTGGGCGCCTCTTGGGCCGTCCTGGAGCCCTCTTGGGCCGGTTCGGGGCCCTCTTGCAGGCTTTTCGGGCCGTCTTGGGGCGGTCTCGGGGACCTGTAGGACCGTTTGGGAGAGTCACGAAGCTGAAAAGGCGAGAACGTCACAAACCTTCAAACACCCCAGGAATATCAATGATTGGGGCCTCTTGGGGCCCTGTTGGGAGGTCTCTTGGAGGCCTCTTATGGCCTCTTGGGGCCATCTTGCGCGTATTTGAGCGATCTTTCGGCGACTCGGGGCCCTCTTGGACCGTCTTGGGGGCATCTTGCGCCTCTCTTGGCTCGTCTCAGGGCCCTCATGGTCCCGGAACAGTTACGCGACAAGATGCGGGGGGGGCCATAGGGCACGCGACAAGCCCCAGTAGATTTCGGAAATTTGGGTTCGGGCCCCCAAGTGACTCCTCAGAACTGGGGACTGAGGCTCAAGGGATTGGGCAAAGGACCTGAGGACGCGCCCACTCCGTGCCCAGCATCATCATGGCGGATGTGTATGTCATTGTTTGTATATCACAAACAGGGCCACGAAGAGCATGGGTTTGACAATCCACGGGTTGACATTTTGAGGTTGGTGGTTGGGAGCTTTCTGGGGGCCTCCTGTTGGCCGTCTTGGTGGCCATCTGGGGCCTCCTCCAGGGCAGGCAGGGCCTGTGTTGAGCTCTTGGGCGGTGTCGGCAAGGACCGTGGTGTTGTATCGGGGCCGTGATGGGCCGTCTCGGGGAAGGGGGCGTCTTGGTATCGTCTCGGGAGCGCCAAGGAGGGAGGGAACTATAATATGCAGGGGGGTGCGTTCCTCTGACTGGGTGCTGCGGCGAAGGTGGGGTTGCCTCTGGGGTAGCGCGACGGATACTCTCTTTTTCAGGCGATCGCAAGCATGGATCAAGGGGGCGTGGATTGGCGACGGGCCCCGTTTCCATAGGAAATCGCTGATTGCCGCCGCCGGGCGAGGTAGCACCGGCCGCATTTTGGGGAGGGCACCTCCCCGGATCCATGGATTTGGCGACCGCACGCGAAATCCATGGATCGCTACCATGTTTGCGCCCCCCGATGTTTATGGTGTTGCAGGTCTCTCTCGCTCTCTTCTTTTCTCGTTCTGTATACGTAAATATGCATGTATGTCTTATCTGTGCTACAGATGAGTACATGTATGTGTGCATCGCCCGCTTTGATGTACACTGTAATCCAGCGCGACTGCAAGTACGGGTAAAGTCTCTTCATTTTGATACCAGAGCACCGCGATGCGATGCACAGCTACAACACGCAATGCGAACCGATGCGGCGTAGTGAAAACAAACGGACACTGGTGCATAACATTGACGGCAGTGCAAAATCATGCGGAACAGTGCAGAGGACAGTTACGCACGGCAATTCACGATGATGCAAAATCAGACAATGCAAGGACGCGTAGCTCAATGCATTGCAGTGCACCGCAATGTATAGCAATGCAGATGCAACGTTGAACACGATCCAATCAACGCAATGCAATGCAGTGCAGTGCACTGCATGTTCAAAGTTCTGCAGCGCGATGCGCTGCAATGCCATGGGTAGTGAAGTACTACAACAAGGGGAAGTCCGGGAGCCCCCAAGAAAGGCTGGAGAACCATCGCGTCCCCCCTGAGAGACCGAAAAAACCCGTGTTACCCTCGAGCAACCTTCGTCACCCTCTGCTATCGTCATTGGCCCTATTCCGCATATCGGGTGAGAGAGTTCAGTCAATGCCTGCTATGGGTGCATGTGTACACAGATGTTTGTTCTGACATCGCCAGCCGCACTCGTTCCTCACCAGAGCACCAAGCAGTGCAGCAGTTCGTCGGAGCAGGACTGGAGATGGATAGCACATGTCGAGCGCTCGTTAACCATGATTTGGCATGAGTCGTGCCGCACAAGCGTCGCATACGCACGCTGCCAGTGAAGCCGTTGGGGAGGAGCTCTGCGAGGGGGGCGACTTGTTCTCGCGCATCCTCCACCACTATGGAAGGCTCGGCACGGCAATTGCGCTGAGAGCTTGGCGTTGCCCGATTCTCGGGAAAACGATCACCATCTTCTTTCCGTTATTGCAGGAATGAGCCGATTCATAATTTCAGATTCCCCTTGGTATGGTAAAGTTTGAGAGACGAGCATGTGACATCACCAGCCGCGGTAGTCGGCACTCCTTGATTATGAATCCCCCCTTTAATTGCAAAGTGTGCTGCTATCGTTCGGGTTTAGGTCTTCGGCAAGTCGAGCCACACAGCTCCAGGTTACCACCAGCTGGAAATTCTGGCAGCGCGGTGGGAAATCTTGAACTGCAAGGTGGTTCCGAGCAGCATCATACTTGCAGCTGAGTGGATACGGTAGCCGAGGTAGCGGCGATTGTATCGGTGGGCAGGCAGTGTTGCGGAGGAGGTAGGAGGAGGAGGTGGGAGGGGTGGAATGGAGGAGGGGAGCGGGCGCCCTGGGCGATCAATGGGGGGAAGCGAGGGCTGCAGAAAATGGGTCGTGTAGGGCTCCTGAAGAGGCCCCGTAGGGCCCAAGAGGGGGCCTTCAGGGCCCGAGAAGTGCACCCTTCCCCCCTCCCCATCAGGCGATGCCGTTTCTTTCCGTCGTTTACGTGTTGAGTTTGCAGCGACGAGTTTGCAGCGACGGGGGGCTTGTGCCTGCGGTGCGGGTGGGTCGCCTGAACAAAAATCTGCCAGGGCTAACCCACGCCATTTGCAGCCGGCTTGGCGTCGGCGCGGGCCCCGCACAGCAAGCGTTGGGCCGCCTCAGATAACTAGGTGCCCGAAGGACCTCCCCAGCCCCAAGGATGTGAGCGCCTATCTTGCCCCAAGGGAGGGCGAGACTCATGGCTTGGAAGAGGACGATCGACCAGAACGGGAGGGGGCCCACGCAGGCTGAAGCAGCCGATGACCGAGAGCCACGTGGCGTTCATGATGACGCAGATCCTGTCCGCGACGAAGTACTGTCACGAGAAGGCGAGGACACACCTCCTCGCACGTGCTTCTCTTCAATACTCGCCATTCCTCTCCGCTCCCCCCTTCTCCTACGGCACTGCCCCTCTTCCCTCTCGTGCTCCCCTTCTTTGAAGAAAGAACAGCACAAACATCAACGGCAAGGATCGGCTCCAGACCCCTCCGCGCGCCATGGAGGGGGTCCAGCGCCGATCCAAGAACTCCGCGCGGACTTCCGACAGTTCGTACTTATGCATCGTTTTGCTCTTCTATTCCTCCCCCGGCTCGTCGTGATCGTCGTCTTCCCAATGTTCTTCGTCTTCCTCCCTTCGGCAAGCTATGTCCAGCAGGCAGGCTTGCAGAATGATGATGTGGTTGGCGTTGGACATGTCGCGTGCGATGTGGCGCCGCTGGCCCGCTTATGACACGCGGTCCCCCACCCTCGGGGATCGCGTGCACGGAGGAAGCCCCGGCAGGGGGGATCACTCGCGCTCGCAGGCGGACCCCTCGCAGGGAGGATCGCCTCACGGAGACGGCGTGCACGGAGGAAGCCTTATTTTGGGATTTCGCATGCTCTTGGGGAGATCGGTGTTGCACGCTATCTTTGCGACGCCAGCCGCAGATCGTTCCAGAGCGTGTCGGAGCGATCTCAGGTCGTCTTGGAGCGCCCGATGTGGCATCCTCGAGACCCGCCTGCCCAGGGCCCTCAGGGGTTTCCGATTCATCCCAGGGCGCAGGATGAACGATTTTTTGGCGATTTCGTGCCGTTTTGGTTTTCGTTGGCCTCCCAAATGGGGTCCGAGCTGATGGGGTCGGAGGATCGCGCCGTTTCGCCGATGCGTCGACGATGCGGTTCGGTGTGGAACCAGTATTTCTCCACGCCGACGGCGCCAATGCATCGTTTTCCGTCATCGGTTGGTTTCCCACAGTGCTTTCGGTTTTCGTTTCGAGTTCGTTTTTCTTTCGGTCGGTCTTCGTTCCGACTCTGCTGCAAAACGAGAGTCCGAGTAGATTGGGTCGGAAGATCGCGCCGCATCGCCAATGCGTCGACGACGCAGCTCGGTGTGGAGCCAGTGTTTCTCCACGCCGTCGCCGGTTTCTCTTCGTTTTTGTTTTACATCGGTCTATTTTTGTTCAGCATCTGCTGCAAAACGGGATCAAACCTAGAAGCCTCCCAAGCGTGGTCCGAGTTGATGGGGTCGGAGGATCGCGCCGCATCGCCGATGCGTCGACGATGAAGTTTGGTGTGGAGCCAGAATTTCTCCTTGCCGACGGCGCCGATGTATCCTTTTCCATTTCCGTTTGGTTTTCATAGTGTCTTCAATTTTCGTGTCGTTTTCGTTGTTTCTCCTTGTTTTTCTTTGTGCCGCCTCTGCTGCTCAACGAGATCAAACCTAGAGGCCGCCCAAGTGGGGTCCGAGTTGATGGGGTCGCAGGATCGCGCCGCATCGCCGATGCGTAGAGCAATAATTGATCCACGCTCACGGCGCAGATGCATCGCCAACGTCGCCGATATATCATCAATGCGGCGCGATCCTGCGACCCCACCCCCACCAATTCGGATCCCATTAGGGAGGTCTCTCGGTTTGATCTTGTCTTGCAGCCGAGGCGGGACAAAGACAGACCGAAGGACAACGAACACTAAGCGAAACGGAAAACACTATTCAGTTCGCGCCCTGTCTCATCCCGTTCCGAATGTTTCCTCATCTTGTCTGCGTTTTACTGCAAGGTCGTTCACAAAACGCCTCATCCCTGTCTTTCCTTCCCGTGATCGTTCCTGGAGGTCTTCGGAGGCCTCCGAAGGTCTCTGAACTGGAGGCCTCCGGAGTTCCCCTGGAGGCCTCCAGAGTTTTTCGGGAGGCACAAGCAGAGCAACGCACGCTCGAAAACAAACGAATTGTCCGTCCTCGCTGCCCCTCCTCCCTCTCGCTCTGCCATCATCCTGCGCTGCGGCCGTCTGCGTTTCGGCTTGAGCGGCGTCCACGCGTGCCCCTTGCCATTGAGCGTCTAGCCCTCTCTGGGTCTGGAGGAGGGCCCCTCGAGGGACGGCAGGCACATTCGATTTGGTGAAGTGTTCTCTGTTGTCGCACTCTCTCATGATTGATCTCCTTCTGAGCCGCGCGACCGCCCCGAGGGCATCGTGCACCGGGACATCAAGCCAGAGAACATACTTTTCGTGGACCGGAGCTCGAGCTCTCCGGTGAAGATGCGCGCCGCCCGCCCCTGGAACGCGTCCTCCTCCTTGCTCAGCGTCGGGTCCTCTCTCGTTGCCACGCAGGTGTGTCTGAAGCTTCGGCCTCGAGAGGCTTGTTTCGGGCTCCGCGGCCGCCATGCATCGATGGATCTGGCATCCTGGTCTGGCTCTGGACCGATGGCATCGTTCCAGGTTGAAGAACTTGCTCGGGCCGGTCTGGAGACCGAGTTCGGACGTGGCTAGGACGAGGGTAAAACCGTTCCAAAAGCGTGCCCGAACGCTTTGAGCAGGCTGCCGTGCCCGATACATCCTCGAGAGCCGCTGGATCTCCGAGATTCCCCGATTTATCCTCGTCCCATTTTAGTATCGCCCTGGCTTCGTCTTACGACCGCGAGCGTTTGCTTCCCAGACGTCCGTCGCCACAGCACAATCACGACGCCCAGGTTTCCGTTGGCTTCTGCCTCCGGAGGTCCGCCGGGGCCCGAGCCAATCAAAAAAGTAAGAGTGAAAAACGGATCCACGAGGAGAGTCCGCCTACGCGCCAGTGGGCGTATGGCTTCTTAACTTGCCTTGACGGGAGCGGGTCGAGAGGTCGCCGCCTGTCGTCGTCGGCGTCGGCATTCTTGTCGTCGGCGGCGCCGCTCGGCTCCCGCCCCCGCAGCATCGACTTCGGCCTCGCGAACTTCACCGCGAAGATTCGGGAGCAGGCGAAGGAGGTGGACCTCCCGCGCAGCGGAAGGCGGCCGGCTGGATTCGGGCCGAAGGAAATGGGGGGGGATAGGGAAGGGAGGGGGTACGAAATCTGCTGCATGCAGCCGGTTTCGGCCCCGCCGCCGGGCCCATTCCTCGATTCATGGGGGCCTCCCGGCGCCGGGAAAATCAGCTACGTGAGATGACGAGATGGCTCTCAAACCCCCCCTTTGCTATCCCCCCCTTTCGCCCGGCCCGATGCTGAATGGCCTGGAGGCTTTGCGTGAGTCGCCCACGGTATGTTGGCCCCACCCCAGCCCCCTTGCGATTCTGGGCCGAGTTAGGAAATCAGCACCACTTCATCTGACCTAGGGCACATGTCGTCGGGACGGGCTTATCCAACGTCGGAATTTCAGGGCCCATGCGACGTATGCGGCGACGTCTCATGAGAGTTGGTTCCAGTGTATCTCTGCCTGCGCAGAGCGACGGACCGCAACACGCATTCAATCGGTATGCAGTCTTGTCGTGTTGATGCCGGGCTCGCAATGGAAGCATGCTGGGCCGATACTCTTACGATGCTCGTTTGAAGCATTGTGGGTACATGGTGTCGCCAGAGGTCTCGGCATGCAACGCAGAAGTGTTCCGAGGGAGCTTGCAGTGCCGTGCGGTGAATGCGTGCTGGGTTGTGTAAGTAATTATCATGTTGGCGGCTCTTCGTTGCTGGCGGGGCCCAACCATTCCTCGCAGAGGCTCGGTCAATTGGCAAGATTACTGCCCGCCGTGAACGGCAAGCACGTGATACCGCTGCAGGAGAGAAAAACGGTTCGCTCTTGTTTGGGGCAGAAGGATTATTGGAACATGTGGTTGAGATGCAGGGTTGGATTGTTTGCGCATTTGTGGGACTTACTTACGCAGGGCGGAAGATCTTCCTCTTGAGGTGCAAATGGCAATGATGAGTTGGAAGTTAATGACGGAACCCCCTTCCCCCATAGAATCTTAATTCGGGCGGGTTCTTGGGTCCGCGGATCCGATTTCCTCTCCCTTCCCGTTTTATTTTCATCCTATAAGTTTAAAGCGGGGCAAACATCGGATTTGCCGTAACAAATGAGACCGACCACGGATCCAGCAAATCCGACATCGGATCCGCGCGGACGGAAATCTGATCCACCGAAGCAAACACGAAAGCCACATTTGGATCCGCGCGAATTTCATGGGATCCGACGGCGGTTATCTCATACGCGTCTGCTCAAGACTTCAAACCGTCGTTCCGGGCCCAAGAGGAAAACACTTTCGTCCTGGGGATGTAATGGTAGTACATTCACAGATCTGGAAGAGAGAACGTTCGCACTCAATTGCCAATCATCCAACGCTAGCCGCTTGTGAGGTGAAGAGACGTGGGTATCTCGGGAGATCGTGAGATGTCCGGTGTATCTTTTTAGCAGGAAGCAGGCATGCATGCATAGCGTCGGACGCTGTGTCCGATGGCAAGATTGTCGAAGTTCTCATACGTGCGCTGTATCGTCGGGATGCTCGTTCGCCGGAGACGACATATAAGCGAAGTAAAGGTCGGCAGAATCGCATTCGGCAAAGCAGCGAGGGCTCGGGGAGGTGATGCAGAAGGCAGGGACGCCTCACTACATGGCCCCTGAGATGATAGAAGGCGCTTCCAGCCTGCAGAGATGAATAGGCGTATGTGGATGATGGGAAGAAGATTTGGAATGTCAGAGTTGGTATCAGCGATATTCAGCCCATTGAATTGAGCCGTCTCGTTTTCGCGGATGCGTTCTGGATTTCTTCGATATGCCGTGTCATCCTCCACGCGAAAGGTTGGGGGTGTCAGGTTTCAAGGAGAAGCGCAAGCCAGCCAGAAGCGCGACGCCAGTCGCCTGGACCCTCCGGGTAAGATGACGGACCCCCTTCAGCCTCAGAAGAAATCTACAGCCAGACGCAGACGCGGTCAGGGGGCGTCAAGGATTACAGCCATGACGGACATCAGGAATGTTCATCACAACTAGGCATCAATAGCATGCATGAAACACATACACTGGTTGAGAAGGGGGGAAGGCGCGGGATGGGAAGCGTGCGGATGGGCATCTCCGGGGATCGGAGGGATGGGTACAGGAGGGGATGGGAGAGGAGAGAATGAGAGAGGAGGGGATGAGAGAGGGGGGGGGCTACCCACTACTCAGGCGTGAGGGCGTTTGTCGTTTTGCAGTGGCCCCTAGTAGAGCGTCAAGCACAGTGGATTTGGCACAGCTGAACGGGCAGTCTCATGTTATGTTTTGCGTCACGGTCCCGCTCCAGCAGCAGGAACAGGGAGGCGTCGCGATAAACCTAAGCCTCGGAATGGACTAAGATTCTTGAGCATGCGCACTTTGCTTGTGTGCTCGCTGCCCCGTTAAGCGGGTAGCCGTTGCATTCTTCCGGCGGCGCATGCAGTTTTTTTGCAAGGTGAATACGACCACCTCGCGGACATGTTCAGCATTGGCATCATCTTGTGTCAGTTGTTCACTGGTTGGCATCCCTTCTATCAACCGGGTGAGCGGGGGATGGCAGCTGAGGGTCGGAGGGCAAGTCTCAGGCGGGACCGCGAACGTTCCCGTACCCGTCGTTTGCGTATTGTCCGATGTAAGTGGATGCGACCATGCATTTCCCGACCAATCTTGCAGAACATTGCGCAGAAGACCCCGGACCCTGCATCGCAGAAGCCTTGACAGCAGACGAGACTTCATGAGTTTCGCAAACCCTTTCCGATTTACCAGCGGGAAGTTTTGCCCCCAGCGCTCGTTGCATGACGTGCTCGAGCGAGCACTGATATACATGATCGTTCAACCGATCTATCTGGATGTCCAGAGAGATAGAGAGAGAGAGAGAGAGAGAAAGAGAGAAAAAAAAACAAGAGAGACTGATGATGCTGCCGCCCCCCACGCGCTCCCAGAGGGGAAGCGGCCCTGTGTCGGAGGCACCCGGGCAGTCCCAGATGGCTTCCAGAGCACCCCTCACGATGTCCAGATGGCCCCAGATGCCCCCCAATTGGAGCGAAAAGTTGGGGAGACTTTGGGCCAGGGACGCTTTCAGCAACACCCGAACGGACGCCTCCGCGGCCCCTCCCTGGGAAGCTCATGGCCGAGGTTGCGCATGCGGCGTCGACCAAGCGCAGGCGAGCCCTGGCTAAACCCTGCGGCTGCCTGAGGCGCTGCACAGACAATCCTGCTCATGGCGGGCTGTAGATGCTAGCCAACGGAGTTCACCTCGGGGTGGTGGGTGCGAGGAGGAGGAGGAGGAGGAGGAGGAGGAGGAGGAGGAGGAGGAGGAGGGAGGTCACGCCGCGGGGGCTCGAAGGCAAGCGCGCATCGCGCGTGGCGGTCTGGGCCAGCGCGGCTGCCATTCTTCCGGGCCTCCCAGATGGGGTCGGAGCAGATGGGGTCGAAGCATCGCGCCGCCGATGTATTGGCGATGCGGCTCGATGCGGAGCCCGACTTTCGCCACGCCGACGGCGCCAATGCATCGCCGAGATCGCTGGTGCATCGCCAACGCATGAGCGATGCATCGGCGATGCGGCGCGATCCTTCGACCCCATCTACTCCGACCCTATCTAGGAGGCTTCTAATTCTGTCATTCTCCAAAGTGGGGGTGCGAAGATGATCGCGCGTCGCGTACGTACCTCTGAGGGACTTCGGAGAGACGCACTGGGGCCGTGCCGCCGACATGTGCGGCCCCTTGGGAGGCCAAGGCGGAGTGGCGAGAGGAGGGATCGACATTGAACGCCCAGGGCTCGAGCTAAACTCAGGCGTGGATTAGCGACGGGTCCCGTTTCCATGGGAAATCTTGCATTTCCGCCGCCGAACGAGGCGGCACCAGCCGCGTTTTGTGGAGGGCACCTCCCCCGATCCATGGATTTTGCGCCCGCGCGACAAATCCATGGATCGCTAATCCATGTTTGCGCGCCCCCGATACACGGCGCTTTGGCGATTTATTGGACCGTGTTCGTTTTGATTTCGTTTTGCAGCAAAGGCAGAACGAAGACAGAACGAGGAAGGAGAAACAGACAGGCAGAAGAAGAACGAGGAGTGAAAACGAAAAACATTGTTCAGCCCGAGATCTGTGGCAGGCGTACATCGTCACTTCTGGCCAGGCACGTCCCGCGCAACAGACGCCCCACCCCCAGTCTGAAGGCAAAGCGCTGGCGCATAGGCCAGGCTGGTTTCGGAAGGGGCTAGGGGCTCCGTGAGACACCTCTTCGGTGTCCCTTTGGGCGCTCCTTCTGTCACTTGGCGCGGCTGGGCCTCATCCTGTTGGAGGTTCCTTTGGCTGGCAGCGGGTAGGGATCCCAAAGGTGGGGTATACTCATCATTGTCAAAACAACCCTAACCCCTGCTGGGACAGGTAAGGTGGCTCTCCCAGCATACCCCCTTCTTGCTGGGGATGGGTGCTGCGGAACGCGAAGGAGACGGCACTAGGGTGGCCAGCGGGGCGATGGTTTCCCCGTTGGGGGTGGAGATGGCTATACTCGGTACGATCGAGATGGGTATGGAAATACTGGTGACGAAGACCGACAGCAGTTCCTGTCCACTTGGAACCAGACTCGAAGTGGGTGTCGCCGCGGAAGTTGTCTGTTTGATGCAAGCAGTGCCCTGCCCAACACCGGCCTCTGTTTGTGTTGAGCAACATTTGTTTTCGGGCTTTGTGCCGATGTCGTGCGTACAAATGTCGGGCGTGTCAGTAGTTTTCCGGACATGCGCTTGTCTTCTTAGGGGGAGGGGAAGGCGGCCCACGGGGAGCAGCTCGCGGTGCGGCGGTGGGGCCGAAGGTGACGACGAAGTGTCCGTCCGCGTGAAGATCTCCGACCCCGAGCCGGTGAGGTTCCCGGCGGACATCTGGGAGTTTGTCAGCCAGCAGGCCCAGGACGGCCTCTCGTCGTCCCGACGATGCGCAAACGTAGATGAAGGCATGCGGATTAGCGACGGGCCCCGTGCCCCATGCAGAGTCTCGGGCCGAACGAAAGGGGGTACGAACGAGATTTCGGCCCCGCCGCCGGGCCCATTCCTCGATACATGGGCGCCTCCCAGCGCTGGGAGGCGCTGGGGCGAGCCCAGCGGAGGAACGGATGCAGTAACCAGCGGAGCAGTTGTCGCGCGGATAAACGGACAAGGAAAGCCATGAGGGCCGAGGAAGATGAGGAAGACATCGAAGACGGGGACGGCCTCGCCGGCAAAACCGCTAAGGAAGCTCACGCTATCAAAGAGGCGAGGTGATCGAAACGGAACGCGCAAAAGTGGTCCGCGCGCGAGGTAGAAGACGCGGCCTAGCCCGACAAGAAAATGATATTGTCCGACGCGAGAGAGGCAGCGAAGAGGGTGGCGAGCGATAAAGAGGACGGGCGCACCGTGGCCAGCGGCAGCGTGATGGGTAGGAGAGCGCCGGCCCGACTTCAGAGACAGATCGGGTCGCGACTGTTCGCTGCAGACCACGGCGGAAGCGAGCGAGGCACACGCCCACGCTAAGGCGCAGACCGCAACGGTTAGGCGAAGAGGCGAAGCCTAAGTATGGATGCCGAATGTGCGGGGGGGCGATGCACAGCCGAGGGCGAGCTGGCAGCAGGACTGTGCGCACGCTGCGCGCGCGTAGTCCAAGTTGCGCACCAGAGTCACAAGCTGATGGCAGCTGGCACGTCGGTATTATCGAGAACGCATGCGGCGAATCACTGCCGACCCGTGCCTTATGGAATCGCCCATGTGGCCGAGCGTTGCGGCAAAAGCTCTGATAAGCTATCGGACCATGTGCTCCCCCAACCGTTGCGGGAACACTTAGGGGAGGATGGCGGGGAAGATCAGAAGGAGGAGGAGGCGGAGGAAGACGAAGAGGAGGAAGAACATGAGGAGGAGGTGCAGGAGCAGGAGCAGGAGGAGCAGTAGGAACAGGAGGAGGAGGAGGAGGAGGAGGAGGAGGGGGCATTCTGGGAGCCTCTGGGGCATTCGTGGACCTCCTGGGAGCTTCCTGTGAGCCTCTTAGGGGCATCTTGGGAGCCTCATTGGGCCTCTTGGAGGCCTCTTGTGTTCTTGGGGGACCTCGGGCATTCCTGGCCCGTCTGACGCCGTCGGAAACCGTATTGGTGTCCTCCTCTGGGCCGACTGGGGCAGGGCCGTCTTGGACGCCGTCTTGGGCGTCTTGGAGGCCTCTTGTTTTGGGGCCGTCTAAGGGCTGTCTTGAGAGCCTCTTGGGCCGTTTTCCTTTGGGAGGCCTCTTGGGCGATCTTTGGGGGCTCTCGGGCCATGCCGGGCCGTCGGAAAGGCCGAACAGAAGCAGCTGCCCAAATCCTTTCAGAAACCCATGGAACACCAATGAGTTTGGTTTTTTCGGGCCTTCTCGGAGGTCCTTTTGGAGGCCTCTCGGTCTGTCTTGGAGACCTCTTGGGGGCCTTTTTGGTCGTCTTGGTGGCCGCCTGGCCCGTCTGACGCCGTCGGAAGTCATTTTGGGGGCGACCTAGACCCAAAACCGAACCGTCTGACGTCTAGCATACCCCTGTGGCAAGACCAGAGGGGGCGCCGGACCGCATGGCCTTCGGCCCGTTCCATCACCGTGCTTGGGTTGTGTGTATGAAGCTTATTTGATGTTCGTGGGGATCTCGTGCGAGGCTTCTCGGGGGCCTCTTGGAGGCAGTTTGGGCGCCTCTTGGGGGCTGGGGGCTTCTCGGGGCTTCTTCTTGGGCTTGGAGCTTGGTGGGGCCTCTTGGGTGCGTCTTGGGGGCCCCCTGGGGCCTCCTGGGCGCCTTGGGGCCTCATGGGGGCCTCCGGGGGCCTCGGGGGGAGGAAGGCTCGGATTTTCGGTTCGTGTTCCAGCTTTTGGGCCACTTTCGGGGCCATCTTGGCGCCGTCTTGGACCATTTCGGGAGCCTCTTAGGCTGTCTTGGGACACTCTTGGGCCGTTTGGGGGCCTTCTGGGAGGCCTCTTAGGCCGCCTTGGGGCGGTCTTGGGGGCCTCCAGGGCCGTCCGGGAGCGTCGGGAAGCAGAAAAGCGAGAACGGCAACATCCCACAAAACCTCTTGGTGCCCTCTTGGGTGGCCTCTTGGGGGCCTCTGTGGGCCGTCTTGGAGGCTTCGTGGGCCGTCTTGGGGCCATCTCGAGCGTCTTGGAGCGATCGTTCGGCGACTCGCGGCCCTCTTGGACCCTCTTGGGGGCGTCTCGGGGCCCTCCTGGGCCAGAAACAAATCATGCGACAACACTCGGAGGAGCCCTGGGGCCGCGCGCCACGCACCAGGATATTTCGGCCGAGGGGCTCCGAACCCCTTGAAGATTCCTCAGGAGTGTGGGCTGAGGCTTAGAGGGGTAGTGAGAGGACCTGAGGACACGCCCACCCCGTGCCCAGCGGCACGGTGGCGGATGTTAGGCATGCTGCGCCAGGCGCGCGGGAGGCCCAGCGATGCCGCTGGCTCAAGTGCGCGACGCGAAGCCCAACGACAGCCAGCTGAGGGCGTGGTCCCGCTCCTCGGGTCGCCAGCCGAGGGCGCGGTCCCGCTCCTCGGGTCGTCCAGGGCAGGCGCCCAGCCCGATGCGTTCCCGCTCCTCGGGCCACCCCGCGAGCGGATGCGGATGCGGCCCATGGCATGGCCGGGCTCCTCGGGGCGCACGGGCGGGGCAGGGGCCGCCCCGTGGGGACGCCACGGTGGCCTCGGCGGAACCGTCGCCGCGCACGCCACTGGCGGAGCCGCGAGGCGTGGGGGAGGCCACGTGCAGAGGGCGACCAGCCTCTCGCGGGGCGACTGCCCCACTCCGCACGGGCCCGACCCCGACGTGCTGAGAGGGTGAGGGCGCGCTCCTCGCGTACGCCTGTACACGAAGAAGGAAACACGCCATACACATAAATGTTTGGCGCTCCGCGCGGGTTTCTTGGAGCTGCGCTGGGCCCCCCCCCTCTGGCGCCGCCCCTGGCGCGCTCCGCGCGCCAGGGAGGGGGGCCCCGCGCAGATCCCCGAAATCCGCGCGGAGCGCCAACAGTTTATGTCTGTGGCATTGTTCCTTTTTCTATACTCGTAGCTCGTCGTGAAGGGCATCCCCCCCCGAGGTTATGACAAGCAAGTGCTGAAACTGGAGGGTTTTCTCGTGTCGGGCCCTGGGAGGCGATAGTCGTTCGACACTGCTTCGATACTCTTCGGGGTGCTCGAAATCTTGTCTGGGATGTGGTCCGTATGTGCGATGGGGGGCAGCATGGCCCCGAGGGAGGGGAGGCTCCGGGGGGGCGGGGTGGGGGGCCCTCTCCCGTGACGCCGCGGGCGCGTTGCGGCCGGGTTGGCCCACTTCGGGGCGCGCGGGCACCGACCGTCCACTTCATTATCCTCCTCCTCCTCCTCCTCCTCGTCCTCCTCCTCCTTCTCCCCCTCCTCCTCCCTTGCTCCTCCTCCCTTCCTCCTCCTCCCCTCCTCCTCCTCCTCCTCCTCCTCCTCCTCCTCCTCGTCCTCCTCTTCCTCCTCCTTTCCTCCTCCTCCTCCTCCTCCGTTCCTCCTCCTCCTCGTCCTCCTCTTCCTCCTCCTCCTCCTCCTCCTGCTCCTCCTCATCCGTCTCCCTCTTTTCCAGCGGACAGCGCTCCCACTTTTGATCCTGCTTCACACTATTGGGTCCACCTTTTGATCAGCGATGTCATCTGGGACAAACCAGGCCGGCGGACAGAGGAGAGCTCGGCGCAGCGGGAGGGGATTCAGTCAGCTTCCCAGGTTCATCCTTCCCCTTTTCGAACATCCTTGGCCGCTCTCGCTGGGCAGCCCCAGTCGCAGAGCGTCGACATGGTCGCCCAGGGCCCCAGCATCGTTGTCGCGCGTCCTTCTCATACGGGCTGACTATCTAACGCGAGAGGCCGGGTGCCGGCTGTGGCGCGAGAGCGCGCCGCAGCTCGCCCCCACCCCGCGGGATTGGCGGAGGGCGCGGAAGGGGAGGGGGGCGGCGCGCAGGACCTCTGCCGCAAGCTGCTGGACAAGAACCCGAGGCGCCGCCGACCCGACCGCCGGGCGGCGTCGGCACTGCTCGCCTCGCCGATCTTTGCTTCCGAGGAGGGCAAAAAAGGTGCCCAGACCACGCCCCTGGCCACTTTCCCCCCTCTGGGGGCCTCTTGGGAGGCCCTCGTCGCCACCGCTGGATTCGCCTCGAAAGCCCGGTCAGCACGCACCCCGCGAGAGCTCCCCGGGAGTGGCGGTATCGGTGCCTGTCGATTTGCCCAGCCAGCAGTGGCCGCCTCGCCGATCCTGGCTGGACCCGTCCTGGCCCTCGGATCGGTGCGCGCGCCTCGCTCCAGCCAGGGAGGCGTGTGCGTCGCTTCCGGGCCCAGGATCGGTGAGGTGGTCAGCTGGCGCTCCCCAGGACAAAGGGCGGAGCACGGCACGGCCATCCGCAGATGCCGTCTATACACCATCACCGTGCCGTGCCAGGGCGGCTCCACGATGGTGCAAAGAACCTCCAGGAGGCTTATGCACCACGCCAGGGCCCAGGATGGCCCTGGCCAGGAAGGGTGGTGGTGTACAGATGCCTTCTGCGTAGAGTGGGCACGCTCGGATGTCCGTGGCGATGGTTGCGGTCGGCGCTTGGGCGGGCGTTGGTCCCCGCGCGCCAGGGGGGTCCATCGACGGTCAAATAGATCCGCGCTGACCTCCGACAGTTTCTGCTTGTATCGATGATCCTCAGGACGTGTGTTAGCCCAATGCGTGTGTGTTACCTCGTTCAGCCACACCCCGCAGATCATTACGTCGCCTGCATCGTATAGAAGGGTCTCGGTGGATACACGCGTTGGCGCTAACACACGTTGTGAGGATCATCTGTTGCACGGCAGGAACGGACAGCCCGCGCGGGGGTACAGTCGGCCACCGCGGGCAAGTGTTCCCAAGCGCGGGGATGGTTGTCGCGAAGCCCGACGGAGCGGGCAGGTTGCCCCGATGCGAGAATCATCGTTGTGAGTAACTCCTTCGGTGGAGCTCCCTATGGGGCCATGACTGACATGCGTGTGACGGCCGCTTGTGGACACGGCGACTGGTGCCCCCGGTGGAACTCCCATGGGGCCACGAATCGTGTGAGGGGTGTACCGACATGGGTGGCCATTAGCGCCTTCGGTGGAGCTCCTTACGTGGCAGCGAAGCGCTATACTGGGGTGTGCCGATATGGGTTGGGCGGCCGCATCTGGACATGGCGTTTGAGGCCTTCGGGGTAGCTCCCCGTGGGGCCGCGAAGCGTGGAAGGGATGTGCCGCAATTTGGTGGGGCGGCCACTTGTGGACATCGCGACCGGGGCCTTCGGTGTAGCTCCCTATGTGCCCACGAAGCGTTGTACTGGGTGTGCCGAAGTGGTCGGCATGTGGAGTGCAGAGGCAAGATTGGGGGAGAGGGAGGAGTGCATAAACGTGGAGGGTTCCAAATAAGGACGAGGACCGCAGGACGGTCGGGAACAAGTTTCGCTTTGAAGAAAAGAAAAAGTCGGAGATACACCCCGATGGGGCCATGTGGATGCACACATACCGATGATGGATGCCCCCCTGGTGTATCTCCGAGTCGGGCCCACAACATGTCGTCCACCCGAAAGCCCCACGAAGTCGAAGATTGGAGTTGCCATGTTTTCTGTTTGCAGCCCCTGGGCACACGTAGTGCCGACTCCCAGGTTGATGGTTTCTTCTGCCCCCGAGCAGCAGCACCAGGTTCTGGTAGGTCTGCGGACGCAGGGCATGAGGGAGGCGCAGCAGCGCGAGTCATCAGCCACATTCGTCGCCCGCCTATAGCCCCAGCTCAGCAGCAGGAAAGGGGGAGTGGAGGATCTCCATGAGGGAGGGAAGGTGTGCAGAGGGAAAGGGCTCCTGAGCTGTTCTCCAGCACTTGTCTGGTTTTCCCGGGCCCCAGAGGCATCAATCACTTGTTCTGGATTGCCCAGTTGTATTGACAGAGGCCCGGGGCCCGAAACACCCGTTCATTTATGACATGGTCTTTCGTGCCAACAGAAAGATGAGGAGAAGAAGGGGTGTCGTTGGAGGTTTCCGTTGTTTGTCGAAGGTATGACAGCTTTTGAATGGTTTTCGTATGGCATTGCAGGTTTTCGGCGGGAGGATGACGAGGACCTGGGGGGTGAGGAGGGGCATGAGGAGGAGGATCTCCTCAGGGGCCTCAGATGAATGACCCCATGGTGTGATAAGGGTGGTCATTGAGCCTTCCTCGAGGTTCCAAGAGTGAGGGCGGGGGTGAGGAGGGGGACGACGGGGAGGGACGATATGGATTCGGTGTGACTCTTGTGTGTTTTGTGGGGGCCTGGGAGGCTCTTCTACGTTCTGGGAGATTCTGGGGGTGGGGGCGGAGGGCGAGAAGGATGTGCTTCTACGCTTTAGGAGATTATGGCGGTTGGGGCGGGGGTCTGAGAAGATGGAAGGGGGGGAGGGGCAGGGATTAGAGGGAAGAGCACAGTCTCGAAGACCCCTACGTCGAATCACCGCTGCTACCTACCTTTTGGAATACCCCATGTGGCCGAGCGTTGTGGCAAGAGCTCTGCCACGCATCGGACCATGTGTTCCCCTAGCCGTTGTGCAAGCCATTCGCCAAACCCTTGGGGGAGGATGGCGGGGAAGATCAGGAGGAGGAGGAGGAGGAGGAGGAGGAGGAAAAGGAAACGGACGAGGAGGAGAAGGAGAACTTGGAGGCCTCTTGGGCCGTCTTGGAGACCTCGTCGGAGCCACTGGGCCGTCTTGGGCCATCTTGGAGCCATCTTGGGCAGTCTGGGTGGCCTGCTGGCCCGTCCGGCGCCGTCGGGCGCCATTTGGGGGGACTCTGGGACTCTCTGGGCGGACTTGTGGCCCTCTTGGGGTGCTCTGGGGCCGTCTTGGAGGCCATCTTGGGCGTCCTGGAGGCCTCTTTGTCCGTATTGAGTCCCCTTGGGGCCGTCTTGGGGGCATCTTGGGCCGTCCTGGGGCCATCTTGAAGGCCTCTCGAGCGATCTTTGGGCGATCTCTGGGGGCTCTTGGGCCGTCTCGGGCCGTCGGAAGGCCAAAAAGAAGCAAACGCCAAACTCATTCAAAAACCCACGAGAAATCAATGATTTTGACCTCGTCGGGCCTTCAGGAGGCCCTCTTGGAGGCCTCTTGGGCCGTCTTGGAGACCTCTTGGGGGTCTCTTGGGCCGTCTTGGGCCATCTTGGAGCCATCTTGGGCCGTCTTGGTGGGCTGATGGCCCGTCCGGCGCCGTCGGGCGCCATTTGGGGGGCCTCTCTGGGCCGACCTGGGGCCCTCTTGGGGTGCTCGAGGGCCGTCTTCGAGGCCATCTTGGGCGTCTTGGAAGCCTCTTGCGCCGTCTTGGGGCCCTCTTGGGCCACCGTGGGGGCCTCTTGGGCCGTTCCGGGGCCATCTCGGGGGCCTCTGGGGCCGTTTTGTTTCAGCATCGCAAGGTTTCGAGGATGTCAGTGCGAAACGCTCATTCTTATCAGAAGGCGTCTGGGACGAGGATCCCCAATGTCGCGATGTGCTGAGGAAGTCCCCAGTGAAGCGGCCGTTGTTGGCGACGTTGGTGGCGCAGCGGGCGGACCCCTCGGGGTGGCCGGCGCGCTGGGCCAGCGTCTCCGGGGGAGTTCTTCAGCAAAACAATAAAAAGGCAATGGGAAGCCCTGTAGCAAGGCCACAGGGGGCGGCGGATCGAATGGCCCTCGGCCCGTCCCGTCACCGTGGATCTCGTGGGAGGCCTCTCGAGGGCATCTCGGAGGCAGTCTTGATGCCTCTTGGGGGCCGTTTTGGGGCCTCTTGGGGCCTCTTGGGGGCCTCTTGGGGACCTCTTGGGGCCTTTTTGGACCTCTTGGGGCCTCTTGGGGCCTCTTGGGGCCGCCTGGGGGCCTCCTGGGGCGGAGTTTCCTCTCTTTTGGAGCTGTCTTGGGGACGGGCAGTCTTGGGGCGCTCTTAGGCCGCCTTGGGGCCCTCTTGGAGGCCTTCTGGGTCGTCTCGGGGTTGGCTTGGGGGCTTCTTTGGGCCGTATCAAAGCGTCGGGAAACAGAAAAGGCGAGAACGCCCAAACCCTTAAGAAGCCGAAGGACACATCTATCATTTTTGCGTCCTGGGGCCCTCTTGGGAGACCTCTTGGGGTCCAATGGGGTTGTCTTGGAGGCCTCTTGGGACCGTCTTGGGCGTCTTGGAGCGATATTTCGGCCACTCGGAGCACTCTTGGACCACCTTTGGGGTCTCTTGGGGCTCTCTTGGCCCGTCTCGGAGCCCTCTTGGGTCCCAAGAAGTCATGCGACAAGCCACGGGGAACCGCGACAAGACGCGAGAAACCTGGGAGATTTGAACATTTTGGGTCTGGGCCCCTTCACGACTCCTCAGGAGTGCTGAACGTCAGGTAAATGACCCGAGGACATGCCCAATCTTTGGCCCGCGGCACTGTGGCGGATGACAGGGGACCAGTGGGGCATTAACAAGACTTGGGAGGAGCAGGGGAACATCAAGCATGGAGGATGTCGAGGACATCGAGGAATCTGACAAGTACAACGACAGGAATCTGTCGTAGGAGGAAGAGGACGACGAGGACGTAGAGGAATTTGGCAGGGATTACATGTATGGTGGATTACTAGGAGGTTCCAGAAAGAGAGAGAGAGAGGGAGTGGCAGAGAGAGAGAGAAATATAGATGACACAACAAACTAAGAACAATGGGGAATGACTACAGTACTAACATAAAACCGAGGAGGGCGGTTGGGTCTGATGGAGGGGGAGTAAGAGAGAGGAACAGAGAGAGAGAGAGAAAGAGAGAGAGAGAGAGAAACAACACAAAGAGGAGGAGGAGTAGGAGAGGGAGGAAAGGCGTTTACGGGGCGAGGAGGAGGGACTGGCCATCCACTCGTCCACCCTTCCTCGTCATCGTCGGCCCCTCGCCCTCGCGTTCTTCGTCGGTCCGCCGACGCCTTGATTGGGTCAGTGCGGCCCGCCCAGCGGACCCTTGACCCCTCGCCGGGGACTGCCGCTCCGTCCCAGGGGCGTCGTTTCTTTTTGAGATGAAGGGCCAGCCCGGAGCGAGAGGTCCCAGTCTTTCCCGCGAACAGAGCACGACGTCTGATGTGTGGGTGGGAGGAGGAAGGGGGAGGAGCGGGAGGAGCGTTCCAATCCACCCCGTTTACCCTCTCTTCTCTCCCTGGGGGGGCGAGGGCAAACGGGGTGGACTGCGACGGGAGACGGGAGCGAGGGCCCCCGCAGGACCCGGCTCAGTGCTGCACAGGCGCTGAGGCACTCGTGGTTCGAGGACGCGCCGCTCGCCGTCCTCGCCCTCCTCCTCCTCCCCCTCCCCCTTCCTCCTCGGACTCCCACCCCCCTCCTCTTCCCCCCCCTCCCTGCCTCCCCAGCCGACCCCGGTGCCCCCTTGCGTCTCTTCCTCCACCCCTGGGTCACGAGCGGGGGTCACATCGAGGGAACATATTCCGAGGTCGAGGGTTCGTCGTTTTCGGCGGTGTGGGGGAGGGCGAGGCTGTGCCAATCACAACGAAGAGCCAGCCAACTTTGCAGCGCCACCCTCCCTGCAGGCACAGGAAGAGCTCGCCAGCGGTTGCCCACGTGTGGCTCACATGCGTTCCATCTTCTTCACAGACAGCATTGGCTCCCCGCGGCGCCCGCACGTGACGTCTTCGAAGGCGCGGTGGCACGCCAGCTCCATCCCCAGCGCAGGGAGGAGGAGGGGGAGGGGGAGGAGGAGGAGGAGGAGGAGGAGGAGGAGGAGGAGGAGGAGGAGGAGGAGGAAGAGGAGGAGGAGGAGGCGGAGGAGGAGGAGGAAGAGGAGGGAGAGGGGGAGGAGGAGGAGGAGCCCTAGAGAGGAGGATCGAGGTTAAGAGTTTCCAGAATTATGTTGTCAAACGCTTCCAGAGCTTTGCGGGCCTCCTGGAGGCCCCCGGGGGGCCGCCCTGGGCGCCCTTCGTCGCCTCCTCTCCCGCCCACGGGCGGTCCGCGTCTCGAACTCGAGCATAATGTCGCCGATGGTCGGGAGGCACGCCTGGGTCGGGTGCGTTTCTCGCTCATCGACGCCCGGGAGGGCTCATAGGGACTGGTCTCGGGAGCCTCGCGACGGGTGTCCATGCAAACGCGGGTCAGCCAGAGCGCCGGATCTTGCAGGATCTTGCATGGCCAGGGTCGCACTGACCCGGGTTTGGGCGCAGGATCCTGCAGGATCTTGCAGGATCCTTCGCGCTGACCCGGGTTTGGGTGCAGGATTCTGCAGGATCCTGCAGGATCCTGTAATGGCCGACTGACCTGGGTTTGGATTGACTCGGGTCAGCAGATCCCCGATGGTCCAGAGTGAAGGTGGGGTCGCGCCCGTATCCGTGTGGTTGCGGTCGGGAAAATCCAATCCGCGATGCCTTGGATCTGTATATGTTTCCGAGGCGGGGACTGGGTGATAGATCTTTGGGGACATCGGCAGGCGGTGGATTTGGATAAATGAGCAATTGGGCCTTGGAGGGGCCAAATCTATCCATATCCGCTGCCAGCCGAGCTCCCCGAAGATCGATCCCCCAAGCTGTGGTTATGGATGACTCCCCGCCTCGCGATGTTTCCCGCCGAGGAACGGCAGGGGGGGGGGGGGAGAAAGAGGCAGAGGGGCAGTTGGAGAGAGGAGCCGCGGGGTCGGTTTTGTTCACCTTGCCCCTTTCCCAGGACGGCAAGCCCTCGGCTTTCGGCAATAAGGAGGTGCAGCCGCTAAGGGGGGCCGTTTGCCCTCATACCCGTGCGCGGTTCCTTCTTCCCTTGTCTGTTTTGTCCTCGTCGCCGTCCTCGGTCCCGCTCTCGCTCGTCGTCGTCACCGCCGATGTTGTCGTCACTTCCGCGTCCGTGTCATTGCCGTCTCCTCCGCCGGCGCCGTCGTCGTCCGCGTCGTCGTCCTCGGCGTCATGCTTTTCGTCACCTTCATCTCCCTCCGCCTCCTCATAACGCGTTTCCCTACCACCCTCGTCCGTTATTCGTCCGCTCTCTCTCGTCCTCCTGCTGCTGCACATCCGTAGCCGTTTCAGTTCAAGGCCGTAGTCTTGTGGCTCGGACGATGTGTAGGGCTTTTCTTCGATGTCTCCTGGTAATAACACCGTTGTTGATGTAGGAGAGGGGGTACGGTAGTTTCGTGCGGCATTGGCGAGCCGGCGACGCCGGCGAAGGCGTTCAAGGTTGATTTCTGCGACGCGGAAGCACCGAGGGACACGGTGACGCCACTGGACCCGACGGAATTCAACCTTGAACGATCGGGGCCGCGATCGATTCAAGGTTGAACGGTCGACACAGTGACAACACCTTTGCGCGCGCCGAGGCCGCCCAAACCTACCGCACGGCGATCCGTGTGGACGGAGATCGTGGTGCCATGCGTGTCCTTGGTGCCCTTCTCCGCTTACCCCCCGCTGTCATGCTCGCACTCCGTGCATCGACCGTCTGCTACTTCCGATCCATCATGTTGCCGCAGTGTGTACCTTGCCGTTGTTCGGTGCCAGGCCTCGTGGGCGGCGGGGGGCGTTGGCATGGCTGCGGGTCGGCGGCCGCTGGAGAGGGGGAGTGATATTTACAACACGGAGCAGAGGGTGTCATTACCCAGTCAAGAAGAAAGTGCGAGCTGCCTCAGCTACTGGCCGCCAGCCTCACGCGGACGCGAAAGCCAGAGCGCCAGCTCGCACATGCAAACAAGAGAAGGGAAGAAGAAGAAGAGAGCAAGGGAGGGGCGGCAGGGAGCGAGGAAACACGTGGGGAGGGAACAGCGGAGGAGGCAGCGACGGCGGCATGACGAGGCCAGGACACCACCGCGCCCCCTTCTCCTTCAGTCACCAGAGGCACAAGTGCTTTACCACCAGCTGGGGGGGTGGCTGTCCCACCCTCTCGAGCTGGTGGCGCCTCGTTCCGGGCATGCCGTCCCGAAGGTTTCCGGGAGGAGGTGCCACCGGCTCGAGGGGAGGGAGCGGCCGCCCCCGTTTGGTTGGTGGTAGTGGTACTCTTGTCTCCCCGGGTTCAGGTTGTGCCTTCCCGAGGGGGGGCACAGGCGGCAGCAAGAGGAGCCGCTCCAAGCCACTCACGCCAAGATGGTTGGTGGGATTGCCGCCATGCGGCCCGTTCCGCGCAGGGTTCGCCGCATCTGTTCTGAAGGGGCTGCGCTATCCTTCCCGTGGGCGCTCGGACGGGCCCAAGGAGGACATGCAGGCCGAGGGGGAGTGGCGGGTGTGGGGGGAGGGGAAGCGGCTGGCAGCGGCCGAAGCCTCGTGGGAGCATCAGGGGGCAGGGTGTGATGGGCCCATTTCCCACCACCACTTCCATATGTAGGAGGAGAAGGAGGAGGAGGAGGAGGAGAGGAGGAGGAGGAGGACCTCATCCTTCATGTGGTAGTGGTGTTGGAAAATTGGCCCATCAGGATGGCCCGGTTCGGGGAGTCGGGCCGCGCGGGGTGAGCGCTCGCACCCGATGGCCTCGCCGTGCCCGTCGGCGCGCTTCCCTCTCTGCGCCCGGCCCTGCCCGTGCCCGCGGGCGGGGAAGCGTGCCGCCGAAGGCACGGCTGGGCCCACTTCGATCCGATCGGTCCGTTTCGGCATCGAGCTCGGAGCTCCGATGATCCGAGGCGGCCCGAGGCCTGCGCGGCGCTGCTGTGCATCTTGGCGCAGCCGGACCTGGCTCGGTTTCGACGCCGTGCCGAAGCGGTCGGTTCCGGGGCAGGGTCCAATTCAATTGCACGGGACAGTACCCGGTTGCGGAGCGGTTGGGCACGCTCCCACCTCTGCCACCTCTCCGCGGCGGGAGTGTCAGTCCCACCAGACTCGGCTTGGGTTCATCACGGGGTAATCTCGTGAGGGGCTACGTAACGGCTTCTTCCGTCCCTCGACTCGCGCTGTGGCGGCCACGATTTGGTCCAAGTTTCCTTGGAGATACCCGGATTTATTTGGGATGCTTTGTCCTTGCCTGGAAGTGCCTCGATTTCCTTGCATTTACCTTCCTTTGCCCGGCTTGATCCCCACAAGTCGATCGGCGAAAAGTCGTCAAGCCCGAAGGGATCATTTTCCTCTCTTTTCTCATGCCGTTGTCCAGGGCACGTGCCCATGGCAAGCGAGTCGTCAGGACACCACGCATGGGTCAAGTCAGGAAGCTGCCGTCACACAACGCGCCGCTGATGCTATGGATTTGCTGACGTGTTGTCAAATTCTGTCCGATGAGTTCGTCGATGCGTACAACACTTCGGTTCTATCCTTCGCTTTCCCTTCTCCCTCTCGTCGTCGTCCTCCTCCCTTCTCTGCATTTCCGCCCGCGTGCAGCATTCGGTTTGAATTGCTAAGCGCCGTGCCATAGTTTCTCTTGGCAGCCTGGAGCAGTTGACGTGCCATTGCACTCTTCATTCCTTGTCAGCCCTCTGGGTATGCAAGAGTCGCAGGTGCTGAGCGTATCGATCTTCGACGGTTTGATGAAGTACCAGGCCACCGCTTCAAGTCCTGCGTACAGTTGCTCAATGACACCTTCTCCTTGTTGTGCAGTCGATGCTAGTTGTTATGTGATCTCTCTGCTTCGTGTGACCTTTTCCTTCTGTTTGTCAAAACCTCCCTACAGCTCTGACATGTTTTCGGCCGCCGCTGCTTTTGTCTGTCCTCACGGTTCAAGCGCAGTGTCTGTCTTGTTTGGTACGCATCACATGAGTTCCGCATTGCGTTCCAGGCTGTCTCGTCAAGGCTTTCGGCAGAGGGTGGTGATTGGCATCGGCAGTCGTGCCTGCCCCGACAGGGCGGCCCCCGTGAGGCTTGCCCTCGGTCTGCGTGTCGCCCACAGGCCTACAACAAGCTCAAGAGGGCGGTGCTGCAGCTCCTGACCCGAGAGCTCTCCGAGTTTCAGATCCAAGAGCTCAGGACGGGCCGCGCTCGTGAGCGGGAGGAGGAGGAGGAGGAGGAGGAGGAGGAGGAGGAGGAGGAGGAGAAGAGGAGGAGGGGAAGGAGGAGGAGAAGGAGAACAAGAAGAAGAAAAATAAGAAAAAGGAAGCCCGCCGGGCCGTCCAGTCGATCGAGCCGATCCAAGACGCGCTTGTCACGAGCGATCGCCTCGTTCGGATCGCCGGCATGTGCGGGCAGATGCCCCAAACGGGGACGCCGCAGATCGTGTCGCAGTCGGCAGCGGCCTCTGGTTCGGGGTCTCGATGTTTCAGGTGTCGCCGCAGCCCGGTGGGCCTCCTGCAAACGTCGGCTCGTTCGGAAGTCTCGTCTTCTGGAGCACGCCACGTATGGACCAACACCGATCTTGGCCAGGCACGTTCTGGGCCCAGGATCTGCGTCTGCGCCCTCCTGGACTGCCAAGGGATGCGTAGTCACCGAACCTGGCTACAGGATGGCGTGGCCGAGCCAGGATCAGTATTGGTGTATAGTTGGTGTCCCCCCTAGATGTGCAACAACATCCTAGACCTCTAGCTCAAGCGGCTCGTTAGAACGCCTCGCTGGTAAGAGAAACATTCAGTGCTCGCGCCCGCCTGGGCGGCACAAGGAGAAAACAAAAGCATGGTCATCCCTCCCTCCCTCACCTTCCGTCCTCCCCCCTCCACCCACATCCTCCAGCCCTCCCTCCCTCCCCCTACCTCACGCCTCCTCTGCCTCAGTTCCCGCCTCTCCTATCCCTCCCGCCCCCCTCCTGCCTCGGTTCCAATCCCCCCCGTTCCGCTCCCCCCTCGCTCCCCCGTCCCTCCCTCTTCTCTCAGGGGCGGCCTAACCGGTCCCTAGCAGACCATCCCCTTCCGTGGCGTCCCTCTCGCCTATAGCTCTAAGACGTTATACGCGGCCAGAAGGAAGCTTGAAAGGCGAGGTTGACGTCACGGAAGGGGACGGTCTGCCAGGGGTCGGTTGGGCCGCGCCCGATCCTCCCGCGCGCAGGAACAAGTTCATGGGCCTGGACACCCAAGGGGACGGGCTGCTGTCTCCCGAGGAGCGCTCCCGAGGGGGGCTCCCCGCCCCTCCCCCCCTCCCTCCCGGGCGCCTTCGCGCGTCCGTCGCGGCGCGGCGCGGAGAGGGGCCCGGGGAAGCGGGCGGCGGCGGGGGGGGGGGGGCGGGGGGGCCAGAATGCGAGCGGGGGCGCGGGGGCGGGCTCCACTCTGGCTCCTCCGGAGGGAGGGGCGGCGGGGGCGGCGGCCCTGGTGGAGGAGAGGGGCGCGAGGGGGGGGGGGGGAGGGAAAGGGAGGGGTGGGGGGGGGCCCACGCCAGGATGGGTGGGATGGGGGTGGGGCGAGGGGAGGGCGAAGGCGAGCGGCGGGAGGACGAGGAGGACCAGGAGGGAGGGGGGAATAGGGGTAATTAGGGGAGGGGGGGAAGGAAGGGAGGGGGGTCGGGAGGGGGAGGGCCAGGGAGGGCGGGAGAGGGAGTGGAGTGGGATGGGTGAGGGGCTGGGAGGGAGGAGGGCGCGAGGCGCCAAAGACTTGGAGGTTCGGCGAGGTTCGGCGATGACGACGATTCACGCAGGCAAGCTGGGTGAAAAGCCAATGCAACAACAATAAAGTTAATAGAGTCTATCCTGCACTCCATGCAGCTCATCAATACTGGTGCCCCTGACGCCATCATGTTCTACTGCGTTAAGAACATGTTGCTGCAATGCATGACATTAGACGCACATTATCACATCATTGCTAAAGGCCGCTATCCCACTTAGTGGGATTGATGACCTTTCAGGGATCTACGATGGCCTCCAGGAGTCAGTCTATGGTGCGAGACGGCGCCGCAACGAAGTGCTCTAGGCGGCCCACCCTTTCGGCCAGGGCGGCCAAAACAGCAACGCTGCACGCACCGCAGCCACTATTAGTAGCTACGGCAGGTGCCCAAAGCATCAGCGGCGTACAGGCGTTGGTCGCTCGCTGTTGGCGAGCCGCTCCCCGTTGGGGCCCTTGCCCTGTAACAGGTAGCGGCGTTTGTAGAATCGGCTAGTGCCAGGTACAGGAAGTCCTATACATGGCTTAGCGATTAGATGCGCGCGCGTCTCGCATCGCGCAGCGCATTGGGCACAGAAAACAAGAGGCCCGTTGCGCCATAGTCTATGAGAGCTATGGGCAGCACGCACTCCCATCGGAAGCCCCTGACACGGTTGTGCCAAGAGGCCTCTGCGCGTGTGTCGATTTCTACCGCAGGTGTCGCAGTAGTATTTCATGCCACGCTTTATTATAGTGTGCCCTCTCGTGTCAATCAGCAGTGGTCTTGCACGAGTGGGCCCTTCATAGGGAACAGGGTCAGCGTCGGCGAAGTCGCAGCTCGCGCAGCGCCTGAGTATCCTCAGGGCCATGCGCAGTGTGAAAACGGCAGAGCACTCTCTTGCGTGGCGAAGCGCTTCGGCATACCCATTTTTGGGATGCATCAAAGCGCCCTGTTTGGCAAACTCGTCAGCTGCTTGATTGCCCAACCACATTGCCAGAGGTATCGCATCACGAATTCTCTGACTATCGCTGCGGTGGCTGGGTATCCAGATCACATCAATGCCTTCACGCCCAACGTCGTGCACCAGGCGCCAGAATTCACGCCAGAGTTCCCCAAGGTGATTTCGAACGTGAGCACCTGAACCATCGCCACGATCCCATGCTTTCTTGAGTTCCAGGTAGTCGGTGACTATGACGATGTTTCTCGGCCCCTTGTGTCGGAGCGCTATGATCGCTGCCCACAGTTCGCCTGCCCCCGAGCACGTCCATGGGAAACGTACTGGGCCATATGCAGCCCCAAGCACCCCGCCCCGATCATCGATCATGACGGCTGCCCAGCCGGCACGCGCCAGAAGAGGATGGTGAGCTTGCTTCCCCGATCCGTCAGTGCACACCAGCCCTTCGAACCCTCCATTGGGCGGTTCGCGGAACCAGACAACACGGTCATACTGATGTGGAGGTGGGAAGCCGTAATTCGGGTCGTAAGCTGGGTCAGGAAGAGGCCCTTGCACGTAATGTACGTCATGGGGTGATTGTCACCGTGCTCCACGCGCCCTTGTGCGAGTAGCCTACGTTCATCACCGCGCCAATCTTGCCTTTCTGCTGCATGATAAAGACAACGATACAAGCGATGTGACGGGGTACCTTCTTCATGCTTACATAAGACACACATGGGATTTGGTGCCGCCCCATGTCGGAAGAGGCGATCCTGCGTCCAAAACCCTCCTGCAACCCATGTCCGAATCAAACCCGCACCTTGGTAATCTTCTTTTTCCCTGAGCTCTTTCACCAATTTGGCAGCGGGTTCAAGTAGAGGTACTCCCTCGAAACCTTCTAGTCGGCACTCGCTTAAGATCTTTGCAGTAGTGGCTTGGTCCACCAACTTCCTCAGCGTGTGAACCCCTATCTCATGCAAGTCTATGAGCAGACCTTGGGGTGAGACAGACTGCATCGCAGTCTGCCTCGAACCCTGTGCTGTTATAAGGCTGGCCATATTACTGGGTATGTACCATTTGTCCCAACTGATGGCTTCCCACCCCAGCCGTTTAAGAGTAAGGAGTACGGCTCCAGCTGGTCCAAGTACTGCTCCCCAGTTGGCCGGCCTGCTCACCGCGTAGCTGTGGGCCATCTTCATCTGGTTTGGCGTGGCCCATCCAAGCCATAATGCTTTCAGCCAGGTAACCAGAGGCAGCGCGTTGGCGTCATAAGTCGGGTCGCACTTCGGGTCGTCAGACAACATAAACTCGACTGTCCGAGATCGCCCACGAGGTGGCCCGAAGATAGCAAAGGCAGCGGTGGCTCGAAGACTAGCAAGTTGCGCATCAGGAACGCCATGCACACGCATCCCATAAGTAACAGCTGGTAGTCCTCCCGCTCTGTAAAGCCGACACACTGATCGTCCTCCACACGCGAGCCTGCGAAAGCGTGTAATACGAACTTTCATTTTAAAGGCCCGTTTGCTCTGAACAGGCCTTCCAGCTCTCATCATTCGTCTGTCAACCCCGAGCTGCTTGACGATCCTTTTGGGCTGAAATCGATAAGATGAAAGCTGCACCGCAATCTGCCTGGCAATTTTGTCGTGGCTAGCAACTACTTGACCTTTGTCCAGGCTAACTTTCATTCTACGCTGCTTGAATTGTTCGCAAGCAAACTGAGCTGCCTGAGTTACAGTTTTGACTACGTCCTTTGTTTGTCCTCCAGCCTGCACGGTGGAGTCGTCGACTACCACCGAGAGGTCGATACTAGGCCATAGGTAATACATTCTGTCATATATGTCCATGGTAAAACATTTCATGACGCTTGCAGCGAAACCACATCCTGCAATCACTCCACGGTTGGTCATGACAACATTGCTCATGTGGGATCCAAATTTGATGGACCTTCTACCCCCATAACAGTGTAACAGCATGGCCATTCTGCGTCGTGGGAATCCGTGACCCACAGCAGAGTCCCAGAGAAGATCATGATCGATGGTCTCGAACGCTTTGGCCAAGTCTATTAGGACCGCTGCTGTGTGTTTACCCATGGACTTTGTGGTCTCCACCATCAGGGCTTGCCTCCAAACTGCTTGTTCCGTGCTGCGGCCAGCACTGGCATATTCATAATGTCTCTTATGCCCTGCATTCCATCTGTCCTGTTGTGGCTTGCGGGCTTTATTGTATACGCGCAGCGCGTCGGGGAGCAAACCTATCAGGCGATGCCCCCCGTCGGGCTTGGGTAACTGAGGCAACAGAGTGTTACGTAAATGCTCAGGTAACTTGCCGAGGCATTCCGCTTGATGCATCACTTCAGCAAATGCCGTGAGGCACTCATCCGAAAGCATCGCCATCGAACGAGGCCGTATTCGGTCAGTGCCCGAGGCAGTTTTGCAGCTGAAAGTTCTGGCAGCAAACCTGACATCCTGGGGAGTAAGCTTTGGTGGAGGCTCCTCATCGCCGAAGTCGTGTATCTCTTCGAAGAAGGAAGCAGCACAATCAGTATGCTCCCAAACCTGCTTCCAGACATCTAGATTTTCTTGGAGCCTCTGTGCGTGAGCAACTACACCTCGTCCTTGATGCTCTGCGCGTGCAGGCACCCAAGTTTGCGGCGCCTTGCTCCAAGCGTGCGCCTTGGCGGTGGTGTTTTGGACTTGCGTCTGTACCTCGCGTTTCCAAAGGGCGAGTCGCTTCTTGGCACACTTGATTTCAATGCTGGTTGCTTCTTTTGCCGCAGCCCAGCTCATGTCTCGCAGCCAGTCTACGCATAAGCACCATTCCGCCGTAGCGCGCATGATCCAGGTATTCCAAGTAACATCTGTGTTTTTGATGTTCCGGAGCTTTCTGATGGTGCGGAGGCGATCCTGGATGAACTTGGTGGTGACTGCCATCCCACGGTGCAATGCATTAGCTAGGTCAATGCACGTGTTGCCCGCCTTGCGCCACCAGCGTGATAGCTGACTGCCTTCAGCCACTGCCTTAGAGGTACTGCGTATTGCTGCCACTAACTTTAACTTTGGTTTATCAAGATCTCCACGCCCTTGATACGGCCTAACCTGATCAGGAGGAAGTTGATACCTATCAAGGAGCTCTTTTTCGGCCTGCATGGCCCATAAGGCGTAGGCCCAAGTCAGATCTCCCTGATCACGAACAAGCTCGGTTTCTTTTACAACTTCCGTATAGTCAGGTGGCGGCCGCGGAGCTCCCATCGGGAGCTCCGTCGGCAGTGGCTTAGGTAGGCACATCTGTTGTATCAAGTTGGATCCTGCTCCTTTCTTTAAAGTGATCCCAACACCCCAATGCGTAGCAGTATGCAGGCCCTCAATCCTGTAGACTGACTTGACCATGCCACGCAAAGTATCAGAGACGAGGAAATAGTCTATGGTCCTCCCTTTTCCTGCACTACATGTCCAGACATTCGGCGCCACAATAGTTGCAGGGAAAGTCCTGAGCTCCCCAAGGTCTACGAGCTCCTGAGGCGTCATGTTCCAATCGGCCCCTAGGATAAACGGTCGCCCCACGGCCCTGATCCATCCCAAGACGTCTCTGAGGAGGTGTTTGTTGTACAAATCAACGCCAGTACCTGAGTAAAAGTAGCAGGAGATGAAAAAGAAGCCTCCTGGTACCATTCCTTCGCAGAGCTGAGCATGGAACCTCTCCGACTGCGGGTACTGAAACCATCGTCCCAATGAGGGCGGTGCTGCCATGGCTATGTCAGCCGTCATGGCGACCCCAACCCCTGCAGACGCAGCATGGATCGTCTTGCCTTCTTTCGCGGAGGTGAGTGCTGCGTGCCATCCTTCGTGTTTTAACCTGGCAATTACATCTCCAATCTTTTGCTTGAGAAGTTTATGCTCCTGGATGGCCATACCGTCGAATCCCAGCCGTGCAAGCATCGCTCCGACTGCTGAGATTTTCTGTCCCTCCGCTTGGGCCGATGTAAGATTGACCGTCGCAAGCTTCCAAGTGGCTTCGCCTCGCGCGTGCACGGTCCTAGTTGGGGCCGTGATCTGAGAGTGCAGTTTGAGGGTATACGGCATCTCAATCTGACTCGCTAGAGGTATTAAGGGTTGGTCCACACTACTTGCTCCATCGGAGAATGCAGCAGTTACCGCCACTGTCGGAAGCAAAGCTTTACATTCAGAAGTGAGGTCAATCGTTTCTGGACTGCTTTCGTCAGCGGTCAAGTCAACAAATCGTTCATGCACCAAAACTTCATCACTTGTGAGGTCAATGCTCTCCAAGACTGCAGAAGCTTGTTGCAGAGGCACGGCAGGCTCCAAGGTCCCTATCAGGGAGACGGTGGGCTGCGCCCTGATCGCGGGGACTGGGAAACCCGTATCAGGCCAATCAAGGTCCACTATATTATGGGCCCAAAACTTCGACGTCGCACTCGAGATCGTTGCAACCTTCGAAGTAGTCGTTCCCTGGATTGGCTCCAGGGCAGCCCGCCGCAAAGGGCATGATGCCCCAGACGGCGTTCCCCCCTCCATGCATTGCTCCACCTCCCTACCTGAGCGCGAAGCTTCAGGCCGGGCAGGATCGTAACGCAGAGGTCCTGAGGCATTCGAGGAACCAGTACC